CCAAATGTCATATATAGTATTTTGCAATAATTTAAGGATCTTTAAAGACATGTTATAGACGTATAAGAATATAATTATTAATTATAATAGATTATAAAATTGAGTAATAGACTACAAGATAAAATCAGTTTCTGTTTAATAAATTAAATTGATTGTTAAACAAATAGATTTATATATGATATTTTTTTATAAGGTATATGAGAAACTAAATTGATTTTTAATGGAAAAGTTTCAATAGATAACTCACATTTACTGTATATCCTTTTAAAATCGATTAACCTTGCTCTTTGAAATATATTTTATTTATGTATCTGTTCTATGAGTTCAAAGATAATAATAGTACAATAAGATATCAAAATTATTATTTAGAAAGTATTTAAGTCGTGAATATTTTTAGAATTATTTTTTATAAATAAAACAAGTCATGAATTTGAAATTAAACATTACATTAGGATTATTTGCCTTTTGGTTCATAAGTATAGCTTCGGGTGAGTTTGTATTGCATTTTATTTTTGATCTCAAAATTCTACTTTCATTGCTATGGAGTTCAGTTGATAATAACACAAATGCTTTGAAGTATTGATTAATTGCCGTGAATTGCAAATACTGTATCGATTAGTTATACAGAAAGTCGTGTTTCCATTCAAACCGTAAATCTTGAATTATTGTTCATATACTTGTAGTTCAGTCACAGACAGCTTGTGATGGACTGCCATTCGTGTCTCGGACCCAATGGAAGGCCCGGACCCCTAAAGATCCGCCACAGAAAATGCCGACACCCGTGAGCCACGTGTTTATACACCACACGGAAACCCCCGACCAGTGCCACAATGAGACGGCGTGTGTGGAAGCGGTGCGAAGTGTTCAGGACTTCCATATGGATGGCCGGCACTGGAATGACATCGGATATAATTACCTGATAGGCGGTGACGATCGCATATACGAGGGCAGGGGCTGGTATACCGTGGGGGCGCACACTCTTGGCATGAACTCCAGGTCAGTGGCCATCTCACTGATCGGTAACTACGAGTCGGTAGCGCCGCCTAAACAAATGTTAGACTTGGTCCAGAAGTGGGTCGAGTGTGCCGTAGAGAAGGGTGTGGTGTCCGGGCTCTACCAACTGCACGGACATAGGGATCAAACGTGCACTTCATGTCCCGGTCAGCACTTGTATGACATCATTAAAAGCTGGAAGTATTTTAAAGCAGGAAAATTAGACACTTATATCTGTGCATCAAATTAATTATACTGTATTACCATTACTGTACACATATTTTTGGTTTATTATACTAAATTAAAATGGAATAAAATATGTGCTATAATTTTAAATTATTATCATTTACTTTTTAAAATGATTTAAGAGAGAGTAGTGCAGAATATGTATAAGAATTTTGTGTAATAGTAAAGAAGATTTAACATAATGTGCAGAATTGACGTAACTTTGTGTCTATATTTGTAACCATTTGTATATTAAATTTATATGTATTTCCATTCATTTCACGAGAGAGAGAGAGATTGTTGAATGAGTTAATCAATCAAACTAAATGATTGCAAACAATAAGAATTAAACTATGTTATAACTATGTTGTTCATAATAAAACTATGCTTCAGAAAATAGATTTAAAAGTAAATAACAATTACATAACTTATTGTATAATAAATTTTGTTTCAAATCGATTTGTTATAAAAACATAAATAGATTCTAAATTTTCTAAATTATATCATTGTATTGAAAATGTTTACCATATATAATGATAAATCTCTCGTGAAATGAATGGAAATATTTATAAAGAAAGCCATAAATATCCAAAGAGATGATCAAAAGAGTGGACTTTAAAATAAACAATAACCTAAATATACAATTATATGGGGCATTCAAACAACTGTGACAAATTAGCGGCACAATCAAACGATTTATGAATACAGGTAATTATTCTTAAAACTAATCTTATTTGACACCACCTTATTTTTGTTTACCCTTATAATTTTCTGTTTATATTTCTATAAACTTTGAAGTTTAAACAAATATTTCATTTAGAATTATATAAAAGACAAGTTTAGGAGTTTCTATAATTAATTGTTTTTTGTTTTGTTTGATTTGTAAGGACTTGCCTGTACAAAATGGGATTTAAGTGCAATTTGTTTTTAATTATTTTTGCAAATATAATGTTAAGTGTTTGCGAATATCGATATAAATATGAAAAACCGGAACCAAATTTAATTGATTTAATGGATGGCATTAATAATAATACTGAGAAACCTTTTATATTGCCATTCAATCCATTCAATGGTGAGTTTAGTCTTACTTTTAATTAATTAAAAAATAATTATATTTAATTTGGTTAGCATATTGAATAACATTGAATTTATGAAAATTAATATTTACAGTAAATCCAATGTCATTAAAAAGTTATTAACTTAGAGTAAATGTATGAATAACTTGCAGTAAATACGAAGCTATTAGGTGAGAAGCCTAACGTGTGTAATACATACCACGACTGTCCTCCCTGTCCACACAATCCTCGATGTTGTCGAAAGGTATGGGTGTTTAGGTTTAATCACTACCGGTGGTGCAGTTGTGGCCGAGAATATCATAGAAACCGATGGAGTATTGCCTGCTATTAATACAAGGCTTGACTATTGCACTAAAAGCTATTAATTATGAACAATAGCTATTAATTACAAATATTTTGTCATTTATATTTTATACTAGAGTAATTAATATAATTAAAGTTTTATTTTTAATTTTTATTAACAATAATAAATATCAATGTTTATAAAATCGTGCTCTGTATATTACAATAGAAAATTTCTAATAGAAATTCATAAATAAAAGATATTGTGGTTGTAAATTATATTTATATTATTTAAATAATTTTTAATATTCAATATGATTAATGTATAAATTAGAAAAATAATAGCTAAATTAATATTACTATTAAAATTGAATTAAAAAGTGTCCTCAAAACAAGAATTATTTAATTTTCAAAACCTTATCGTTTATAAAATTTCAAATTGATTTAAATAGTAATAAATGTCTGGGTATTTATAATAACAATAATACAAACATGATTTACTTCAATGTTTTAACCTTCAACTCGGACTATATTTAAGTGCAAAGGTAGACACACTCCCTATCTTTGAATATTAATTACTTAATTAAAAAATAATTTAAATAATTCTCACTTTTAAGTGTTTTATCTAGTATAAAAGCAATTATTCGCAAAATTCCACTCACATAAATTCTCTGAAATGTTTACTTTAAAAGTATTTTCAATATTAATAATATTCTGGTCTCACAGCAATGCCCAAAGTAACCAGTGCACAGGTATGTTGAATTTAATTAATTTTATTTATAAACACTAAGAACTTATATAATTTTTAGAAACTTTATTTAATATTAAAACTAATGTTAATTTCAATATAAAAATTTATTTTTTGTATAAAACATGAAATTCCAGTGGAAAGGGTGCCAAACATCAGATTGACTGATGGTATGAGAATACCGATCATAGGTTTGGGTACTTATAATATCCGGGAGCAGAATGTGATGGATCAGGTCATAGAGGATGCCATTGATGTCGGTTACAGACATATAGATACGGCTTATGAGTACAATAACGAGAATTTGATTGGAAAGTCAATAAGAAAACTAATGGATAGACAGAAAATAGAGAGAAACTCAATTTTCGTGACGAGTAAAGTGTGGAATACTTTCCATCGAAGGCGTAAAGTAGTGGAAGGCATGAGACTGTCGCTCAAGAATCTGGGATTAGATTACTTGGACTTAGCTTTAGTCCACTGGCCTATGGCTT